GCGGAAATTAAAGTTATCTTTGTAGATTTACAAATGCATCCATGTTGGCGAAACCAAGGGTTCGTGTAATAACAATTTGTCAGGGCATAGTTTTCAAATTAAAATAAAAAGGAACTAGAAACTTCCATAAACACACTAAAATTTACCTGATCTTTCTTTCTTTAAATAAAAGTTAGAATTCTTGAAAAGATTAATAATCGAACAATTAGTCCATCATTGAATACAAATTTCCGTACAAGAAGAATATTGGATTAGAAAACTAGACTCTGCCTTTCTATACAGATGAAATCAAAATGTCCATATTGTTTGAACTCTTTCCAATCCAGTGTACCAATGTAAATGTGATGGTTTAACCATGTAAAGAGACACATGCACATTGTCATGGGCCATTTGTAAGTCTACAGTCACGTCTTTATCACATTTGCACCAAAAATTACTCTGTCTTATTGAAACTTTAAAATGGTCTACTTGAAAAATGTCAAAGGAATGTCCATATTTCGATTTCTTGACACCAGAATACAGGCTCGGATCTGTGGTTATGGATTATTGCAAATCTAATATATTTTAAACCGCCACATTTTACGGAACTAAAGTAAACTATACTTATACAATGGTAATCCAACTTATATACATATAGCTTTCTTTCTAATTAGGAAATCACAAATATTTACCAAAATCAACAACATAAAACCTAAGACTTTTCATCTCCTTGTACAACTATTCTCCACGATAAATAAAAGTCTAAGCTTTTTAGCATCATTGACAGCTGCTTTTTTAGCTCTACTGGTCAGAGACCAGAAGAGCTTATGCGATAGTAATGCGTCCGGCGTCCGTCCGTCTGTCTAGCTGTCCGTCTGTCTGTCTGTCTGTCTGTAAACAATTTTTCAAAATTCTACTCCTCCTACAGTTTTGGTCTGATTTCAATATAACTTGGCACACAAGTAGACTACACTAAGATACATAATTCTGTGCATCGGTTTTTGATTTCGATGAAAGGTGTTGCCATGGTAACTAAAAATAGAAATTTCTGTGAATTGCTTTCAAAATGCTACTCCTCCTACAGTTTTGGTCTGATATCAATATAACTTGGCACACAGGTAGACTGCACTAAGATACATAATTCTTTGCATCGGTTTTTGATTTCGATGAACGGTGTTGCCATGGTTACTAAAAATAGAATTTTCTGTGAAATGCTTTCAAAATGCTACTCCTCCTACAGTTTTGGTCCGATTTCAACACAACTTGGCACACAAGTACACTAAGATACATAATTCTGTGCATCAATTTTTGATTTTGATGAACGGTGTTGCCATGGTTACTAAAAATAGAAATTTCTGTATAATTTTTTTCAAAATGCTATTCCTCCTACAGTTTTGGTCGGATTTCAATATAACTTGGCACACAAGTAGACTATACGAAGATACATAATTCTGTGCATCGGTTTTTATTTTGATGAGCGGAAAGGATCAATTTCGTATATATTGCTGTTTTAAAGTTTCAAGTCCCAACTGCTACTTTTCTTTTCCTTTGTTTTAAGTATAAACCAGTAGAGCTACAGTCTCGACAGAGACTTCTGGTTGTACAAGAAGCCCATGGGCCACATCGCTCACCTCAGAAGCTTTGATCATGCTATTCTTAACCAGATGTCCCCATTGTATATGTAATACTTTTTGTGACCCCATCTTACCCCACAGGTCAAAATTTGAACAATTTAGAATCTACACTATCCTTGGATGCTTCCACACAAGTTTCAGCTTTTCTGGCCCAGTGGTTCTTGAGAAGAAGATTTTAAAAGACTTTTCCTTTATATTTCTATGTAAAACTTTGATTCCCTTTTGTGGCCCCGCCCAACCCCAGGGTGTCATGATTTGAACAATTTAGAATCTGCACTACCCCTGGATGCTTCCTCATAAGTTTCAGCTTTTCTGGCCCAGTGGTTCTTGAGAAGAAGATTTTTAGAGATTATTCCTATAGATTTCTATGTAAAACTTTGATTACCTATTGTGCCCCGACCAAACCCCGGGAGTCATTATTTGAAAAATTTAGAATCTACACTACCCCTGGATGCTTCCACATAAGTCTCAGCTTTTCTGGCCCAGTGGTTCTTGAGAAGAAGATTTTTAAAGATTTTTCCTAATGTAAAACTTTGATTCCCTATTGCGGCCCCGCCCAATCCCTGGGGGTCATGATTTTAACAATTTGGAATCTGCACTACCCCTGGATGCTTCCACATAAGTTTCAGCTTTTCTGGCCCAGTGGTTCTTGAGAAGAAGATTTTTAAAGATTTTTCCTATATACATTGTATTTCTATGTAAAACTTTGATTTCCTATTGCGGCTCCGCCCAACCCCCGGGGGTCATGATTTAAACAATTTAGAATCTACACTATCCCTGGATGCTTCCACATAAGGTTCAGCTTTTCTGGTCCAGTGGTTCTTGAGAAGAAGATTTTTTATTGACTCCACCCTATTTTTGTCTTTTCTTGATTATCTCCCTTTGTGAGAGGACTTGGTCCCTCATTTTTCCAATTTAAATTTTCCTTCACCCAAGGATACTTTGTACAAAATTTGGTTATAATTGGCCCAGTGATTCTTGAGAAGAAGTCGAAAATGTGAAAAGTTTAAAGACGAACAGCTAGACACACGGACGCACGGACGACGGACAAAAAGTGATCAGAAAACCTCACTTGAACCTTCGGCTCAGGTGAGCTAAAAAGACGGAATAGGTAAATTTATTTACCAGTCAATGTTCATTTGTTGAATTCATTTAGATTGTACACGTAAGTACTCTGAAGTTAATATTATAAAGATGCTTGAGGGTTTTTTTTCAATTTATAATACCGGTTTCTGTTTGGTTTATGGGGACTAGGTCTTCAAGCAGTCTATTGGAATTCCAGTGGGTACCTGCCGAGTGCGCTCCGTCATTAGCAGATCTATTTTTGTATTTATATGAAGCAGAATTTAATCGAAATCTCATGCATGAGAAGAAACCTTCCTGGGTACTCACTTCAACATTTTGATATATTGACGACGTATTATCAATTAATAATAGTTGTTTCCAGTAATATGTGGGCACGATATATCCGAGTGGGCTTGAAATAAAATATCAGAGTCTGTTTCACATTAGATATTTTACTACAAAAATGAAGGTAATTGTAACCTAGCAACAAAGCGTTATGATAAGCGTGATGACTTTAAGTTTCCATTCGTCAATCCCCCTTACTTGTGTAGTAATTTACCTCTATCGCCTGAATAGGGTTTATATCAATATGCAAGAGCATGCTTTACCTATGAACAATTTATAAAACGAGGTCATTAACTGAAAGACAAATTGATGAAACAAATCTATCAACACTCTCGTTTAAGGTCATCATCTAATAAGTTTTATGGTCGATAAAATGACCTTGTTCGCGAATACAATCTATGATTCAGGCAAATGCTGATTGACGTTTTTCATACTAACTAGAGGTACTGTGAGCGATGAGCTCACTAAATGATACCCCCCGCGCCTGCCATATGGTTATAACTGGTGAAAAAGTCCATGTTTTCCTGTGCCCGGGAAGCCCAAAATATGTGTCGGATGAAAAAGTAAAATAGGTGGTGCACAATGGCAATATGTAATAAAGATTCTGTGAAAGTTGCATCAAATTTCATTCAGTGGTATGAGAGGAGTTGCGGATAAGAGATGGGTACCCCAAAGCGTAACAGACGGACGGACGGACAGACAGACGGACGGACGGACGTACAGACGGACGGAATTAACGATTACTATATACCCTCCCGCTTTTCAAGCGGGGGGTATAATAAATATCCCACTATTTACACAGTGACGGGCTTTTCCCGTTGCATTGTTTCCCGATCATGACAAAAAGCACACGGCGGCTGTCCTCAGTCGGCAGTGGATGCTCACACCTCCATGGTACCTGATCCCACCTCCAATGTTTTGGAGGTCCGTGTTTCCTCTGGTTCTATTTTGTATTGTTTTATGGACGTTTGATCTTGAATTCTGTTTGTTATCTCTATATTTAGATGCTTCACTTTTGAATTTAAATACTGTTCGTATATTATATTGATTCTAAACTGAAAAGTAATAAATAAATAAAAGATATGTCGTAAAGACTTTAAAGACTCCGTGTGGACTCAGCTTGGTGTGACAGGGCCTTAAGAGGCAATGAGCTTTATGGGTCATCCGAGTAACAACTTTCCAACAATTGAATTCGGTGCGTGTTCTAAACCAGATGCTATGAAAGTCACAATTTTAAAAGAGGCACCATTGCTCTTCATAACTATACACTTAGGATGCTTATTTTGATTACCTAATATCCAGAGGTAGAGCAGAGGAACAAAGGTAAAATGTATTTCTACTTTATAATCAGTAGTGCTATACCCCACAAGAGTCCCAGATCCAAGGGCCACACATTTCACGATTCTGGAAAAGGCAACCTTGCTGATTTGCTCAGTTATAAATGTTGGATTAATTCCAACGAGCAGATTTCAAAGAATTAATTCATTTTCAGTTTATACTCAGTACATTCCTCCATGGTACATGTACCTCTGACCCAACTGCCTTGAAAATTAAAATTATAGAAGAAACACCCTTGCTCATCATAACGTTTTTTAGATTATCGGCATAATACCCAGGAGCAGAAAAGATTTTCAAAGATTTCATGCATTTTCACTATATAATCCAAAGAGCCCCACCCTAACATCAGAACCTCTCACTCAGGGGCCATTAAATTCCCAATTTTGGAAGATGCACCCTTCCTCATCATAACCTCATATAGTTTATAGGTTTAATATCCAGGAGAAGAGGACAATATTTTTGATGAATTAAATCCAGTTCACTATATACGAGTAATCATTAGAACCCCGTCCTAGCGCCAGAACCCCTGATCCCGTTGCCATGAATTTAACAAATGCGATAAAATGCTAATTGCTCCATACAATCATACAAACAGTTTGATTGCTTGATGCCCAGGAGTAGAGAAGAAGGTTTTTTAAAAAAAAAAATATTCCGTTAATTTTTATGGTTGTAGCCCCATCTCACACGCCCCAGTGGTGGTGGTGGGGGGGTGGGTTATGAATTTCAAAATATTTTTGCTCCCCTTCATTCATAGATGTCATATGCCAAAATTTGTTGAAAATAGTTCAGTGGATCAAGAGGTTGTTTAAAAGTTTACAACCGATGGTCGTCGAAAAAAATACGATGAAAAACGACGGACAAAAACAGATAGCAGTCGGTCATCTGACTCGGGTGACCTAAAATTGGTTTATATACTGTATAATAGTAACCCAGGCTCGGTTGTTCTGTGAAATGACTATATTCTATATACATTTAATATTCAGGTATAAATACATTAGAGATCGTGACTATTAATAGTTATAACACAATAATAGTTGTAAATTTTTAACCCACTGCACTCAAATCCATTGACTGGGTGTTATAGAGATATTTAATTTCAAAATAAATCTAGGATGCAAACCTGTTCTCTCAGTGTTTAATGATTAAATACTCACCCACCAAATACTTCGGGCTATAATTTTTTTTATCCTATACTTACGCGTTTGGTTTCAGAATTTGGTATACGTGTGTGGTTTTCCCTAGGTTACATTGTACCAGTAAAAACCAATATATTGAGGCAAAAAAAAAACACAATATGCAGTATCTTCCATCCTGGAATTAAGCCAAGGTTGTTTGTAATATTATAATTATTATAAAGCGAATACTAGTATCCGAAGTGTTGAGCTTGTATATTTTAGAAAATTGCCACCTCTAAAATTTCAGCTTAAATGATCCATAAATTGCTCAGATCAGACGACTGTAATTGTGCCTCTTCGGCTTTGTTCTTTACGTATATTTAATTATCTTAATTGGTTGACATAAATTTCTTTTACATCAATTTAATTTTATTTTTAGTTTAAACATATTTTATTGAGAAATTCAATCAGGATTGGGCAACAGGCAATGCCTATGTACACCCTCTCCTTGTATAATTTGTCAAGATAGAATAGTAGGTAATAATACATGAACATGATAATCAATAAAATTATAATGAAAAATAAAGATTCACAATCAAGTATTATTTATCAATATTATATCTCAAAAAAATGACAACCCCCTAACTGTATACATATTATTTACATACTGTTCCAGCTTAAAAATAATACAAATATTTTTAAAAAATTATGCATTTAATAGAATATTTGATAAACAGTGTCCCTAATTTAGTCTTTTAGAAGATTTAATAAATTCTTGTACATATGAAAATATTTTACAATTTGTTTGATAAGAGTATTGACATTTTCCTCTTAGTAGAGCGTCGAGTTCAAAAACAACATCAATATCATTTAATTTTTTTACCAATATGTTTCTTTCAACATTATACGAATATATAATTTTATTTTTTTCAATTGTTTTAAAATTACTTTTATTCAATATTTATATTATAAATATTTATTTATTTATTCTGTGCTATTTTTCAACAACAAAATTATGAAGACAATTAAATAGTTTTATTCCTCTTGTCCATTACACGTATCTCACTGTAAATTTAAACGTATACAATTGGATCCACGCCCATTGTATCTGAAGCATGAACTGGCTGTGTGCGATCGATCATCCAGAACTCTTCTTCCGGTTCGCAGGATATCACATTGTTTACTCGATCAGCTGTTTTCATCTTCCGTAGTGGGATTTACGCACTGGAATAGCTTGTGAATAAAGGTCTGGGTAAGTATTTATAGCATTTAACGAACCTTTTAAAATCATAATTTTTTAACAAATTGCATTGTGGATACAGATTGTAAAATATATTTTTTACATTTTTTAAAATAATTGGTTTTGCTCTGTGCACTTTGTTGCGTCGCTTACGTTCTTTAAGGTCATTGATATGAACTCGCGGTGCATAAGTAAACAACTGATAGAAAACCGACTTATTGACGCGAGGGTGCTAAGTTCTTGTGAATGTTACAGATTTTCTCTCGCTGTGACTTTGTTCT